GATGGGAACACCTGCTGGGACTGTCTTTGGCAGAGATAATCTGAGACAAAAGCCTGGCGTCAGTGGTCCTAAACTCCACTGTACACTACAATCACTTTTGTTTCTTTTTAAAAGATATCTTTATTTATTTCAGAAAGGAAGGGAGAGAGAGAGAGAGAGAGAGAAACATCAATAATGGGAGAGAATCATTGATCGGCTGTCTCCTGCAAGCCCCACACTAGGGTTCAAGCCTGCAACCCAGGCATATGCCCTGACCGGGAATCGAACCACGACCCTCCGGTTCATAGATCCAAGATCAACCACTAAGCCATGTTGGCCGAGTTAAAGTCACCTTTCAAAGTCTCAGTGCCTAAGCTGTACCCCAGACCAACGAAATCAGCAACGCTGGGCGTGGGAGCCAGGCATCAGGATTTTCTTTAACTTCCTCGCGCTAACAATGAGGCGTCCTCCCAGGTTGCAGGGTGGCTGGCTCATGGACAACCAGCGCTTCTCCAAGTGGGAAAACCCATGACTCCTCATACACAAGGTCATGGTAGGAAAGTTATAAAGTGATAATTAGGCGTTTCTCCTTACTGTTGCCTTCTAACTGTGACAGTGATTGTTGGTTTCCATCCTTGGTGGTCATGCAGTTTCCTTTTTAAATACATTTGAGTACAGAGGTGAGGAGGTAGCGGTCATGCTTAGAATTCTAAGTAAATACGTAGCAGCAGGGAAGGCTGCTGTGACTGTTACCATGAGTAGCATCATCTTGAAGGCCTGCTAGCTGCACATAGACTCTGGGTGATTCTGAAATTTTAAAACCCGACGTCTGAGAGCTGGCCTTGGAGAAAGGAGTGGGCAGAAGGGACCAGGGTGCTCGTGAAGCAAATACAGAGCCCGGGTAAGTGTCCGGGTTCTGCAAGGAGCCGGGAATCCTTTGAACGAATCGCGGGTAACCCGAGGGGAAGTATCCGGAAGCCCCTGAGGGGGAAGAGCGGTCAGTCATCTCTCTCTTTCTCAGGAGGAACCCAAGAACGTGGGGAAACAGACATTACACGCAACCGGGAGTTGGAAAAGTCGGAGAAGCGGGGGTGGAACTGAAGGGAGGTCTGGAGGGGGAGAGTCAAGAGTGGGTTCTTGTTGCCCTGCTGGCGAGCCTCAGTGGTTGAGCCTCGACTTATGGACCAGGCAGTTATGGTTCGGTTCCCGGTCAGGGCCCAGGCCCGGATCGCAGGCTCCATCCTCAGTGTAGGGAGTACAGTCAGTGATCCTCTCTCATCATGTCTATCTCTTGTCCCTCTCCCTTCCTCTCTGAAATCAATAAAAAAAAAAATTAAAAAAAAGAGTGAAACTCTAATCCCAAGATCCTTCTGACCAAATATTCTGTAATTCCACTAACTGCCTGGTTCCTGGAATACCCGCTTACAGGCCTTCAGGCATAGGCTGTGCCAGAAAGGGGCGTGGCCAGGAGAGGCCAATCAGAGGCCAGGAGCGAGGGGTGGCATGTGAGACCTTCTGGCCAAGTGTCAAAGGACCCAGTGTCCAGGGTGTGGCCACAGCCAGCGAGGGACACAACACTTCCAGCTTGTTTATTCCTTCGACAGAGACAGAGGAGAGGGTAGTCTCACCATCTGGTAGGTTAGAAACGGAGGTTTAGAGGACGTGCTAGTATTGACCAGAAATTAACTAGCGTCTAGGATTCCTCCTTGTCAGCATTTGCGTTTCCTCTCAGGCATGTATTATAGAATAAAGGGAAAAGCCTGGAGGTAGAAAATCAGACAGACCTGAGTTCAAAATCCCAGCTTCTGCAGGTTTTGGCTGTGTGACTTTGGGCGAGTTACTTGACTTCTCTGAACCTCAGTTTTCTAGCCTGTAAAATGGGATCCATAGTGGTACACCTATAGGGTTATGGTAAGGATTAAATGACACGATGCCTATAGAACCCCTATAACTGAGGAATAGCCCAGTACATGGAAGCTGCTGGCGATGATTCTTGAAGCTGATCTAGCAGACCTGTGCTGGGCTCAGAGCTCACTGCCTCGTGCTGCCTCTGCCGTTTGCCTCCTAAGTTCAAGTGGCCCTAAGGTCAGGTTCCAATCATACCAGCCTCCCATTTGTCCCTCCGTGCAGTGCCTGCCCTCAGCCAGGCCACTGGAGTGCAGTAGGCATCCAATAATCATTAATTGAACGAATAAGTGACAATTGGGAAGGAGGAGTTTGAGGGGAAATCTCAAGGACCTGTGTGCCAAATGATGGTGAATTCTGGGCACAGGCTTCATGGGTGAGATCCAGTGAAAGGTGCTGGCTGCGGGGGAGGCGAGGAGACAGGCGGTGAGGGCAAGTCAGGGACGACTGTGAAGACGGGGAGGCATCTGAGCTGAGCCCGGTGGGATGGGTGGGATAAAGGCAGCTCAGAGAGAAAGGTCCAAGAAGACAGAAGCTTGCTCAGGGGTGGTGGGAGTCAGGTTTGAGAGGGAATCAGGCAGCTCCAGGCAGCAAGTTCCCCGTCCCAGTGACAGCCAGGCAAGCAGGTGACTCCAGTCAGAGCAGATGGGGTTGGGCTGGTGCCACTTATTTATTTATTTATAAATATATTTTTATTAATTTCAGAGACAGAGAGAGGGAGAAGGAGTTAGGAACATCAGTGATGAGAGGGAATCACTGATTGCCACACCTCACAGTGGGGGGTCGAACCTGCAACCAGGGCAAGTGTCCTGACTAGGAATCAAACCGTGACCTCTTGGTTCCTGGATCAACACATAACCACTGAGCCACACTGGCCGGCCTAGATGCCTTGCCTTTTAATGTCTTCAGTCTGAGATCCTGTGTGGCATAGACAGGAACAGTCCAGACTGTCCCCCGGCTGGACTCAGGGGAGGCCACGGGATAGAGATGCCAAAGGCACAAGCCGGCCTTCGTCGGCTGAGAATCTGGTTCTGCTCCAACAGGCGCCTTGCTCCTCTGCCCCTTATTCCTGGTCCCTAGGAACCACCGGTGCCCAAGTTCTGCGGCCGGGGGCGGCCTGGAGGGCTCAGCGGGGAGAAAAGGCTCCACTCAGGGCCAGACCTAGCGGGTTCCTCCCCCCACGGACGCTGAGTCTGAGGAAAATGCTTCTCGCCAGTTTTATCCAGTATCCACTCTCTCTTGCTTTCTTTAATAAATAAAGCCCGCCCTTCCCCAGTTTGGCTAACACGTGGCTAAGCAGCTAAATACTAGCTTTCCCGAAATTTTCTGGTAGCTGGGTGTGGCCCTGCAACTGAGTTCTGAGCGGATGTGAAGTGTTCTACTTTTAGGTGATGGCCTTAAAAACGGGTTGCTGTGGCCTGCCCTGGCCCTTCCCTCCGTCCCTGCTCCTCCCCACGGGCTGGCCCTGGAGCAGCCAGCGTGGGCCTCAGAGTGGAATCCATGTTCGGAGGTGGCAGAACTGAGGCTTAAAGGAGCTGGAATCCCTGACAGAAGGCGTTGCCATTTTGGTCCAGCAATGCTTGCCTTGGGAGCTGATCTGTGCCAGTGCCAGGCCTTTCTACCCGTTCTGTTTGAGTCTTCCTGACCTCGGCCCAAACTCATATCTCAATCAGTATTTCCGCTCAGCTCCCATCGCGCCTCTTATTTGCCCCACGTCCTTCTTGGGCCTGGTTTCGAGCCAGGTAACACCAAGTAAGAATCTCCCTCCCCTGGCTAACCTCCCAGAACCCTGTCCTGGCAGTTCCCCCCCTCCCCCCCCCAAGCAAAGGGACCCCCTCATGGTGAGGACCATGAGCATCCTGGGAGCCCTGTGGCACTTGGGGCAAGTCCCTTAATGTTGTAAGTCCTGGTTTGTTCCGTTTTGGCACCAGTAAATAAATTCACTCCAAAAGGAGGTTTTGGATGAATACAGCATCGTCAGCAGGGTTGTAACTCCGGGCTGGGGAGGGGACTGTGTCATGGGCCGATTTAAAAAGAAGCAGAGGATCGTGCTCGCGCCCAGAAGAGACCACAGGACCGTCTGTCTGTACCAGAGCACACGCCCACCCAAACCGAACCAGAACCAACACACACTCCCCTCTGCCGGCCCCTGCAAAGTCAGGAACACCGGCTCCCGGACAGTAACCAAATGCGGACCAGAACCGGAGCTCTTGGTCCTCACAGCCGCAGACCAGGGGGGCGGGCACACACAGAGCCGCGCAGAGGACAGGACTCATAGCTGCTGCTGCACTTTATTGCCGCTGCCACCCTCAGGAGCTCCGGTTTCCTCGGCGTCTTTCTTTCTGGGGCACCTCCGTGGCTGGGCCCCTCCACGCCCTGCCTCTTGCTCCCTATCTTGCCCTTGTTCTGCAGGTGCTCCCTTGGGGGCCCCTCAGAGCCTGAGGCAGGTGGGGGAGTCCTGGGGGTGGTGTGGGCGGGTGGGCCCAGGTCCTGCTAACATCGCCAACATCGCCGTGTGGGGTGCGTGCTCCGGCCGCATCTGGGGAAGGAAAGCAGTTGGTGCAAGGGAGAGAGGCCTGGGTGATTCTGCCATCAATGCTCCGTGACTCCAGAGAAAGCCCCTGCCCTCTCTGGGCCTCCGTTTCCCTCTCTGTAAACCAGATTTCCCTGGTCTATACACAGAGTGGCCAGATGATGATGATCTCTGAACACATAATAATCTGGCCACTCAGGGTATATCCTATATAATAAAAGGCTAATATGCAAATTGTCCCCTCGACCAGCAGGCAGGCCAGCTACCTCCCATGTCCCCTCCCCCTGGCCTGGCTGGCTAGACCTCACCCATGCATGAATTCATGCACTGGGCTTTTAACACACACACACACACACACACACACACACACACACACACACACAGTGGCCAGACTGTTATGTGTTCAGAGATCATCATAATCTGGCCACTCAGTGTCTGTCCCCCTTTGCACTGGGAAACCCAGAGTCAAATATATGTCTTATTCTCTTCTGTGTTGAGACGCCAGTTCTTTAATCCCTTCTCCCCACCCAACCAGCACCTCCAGGCCTGGCCCTTGGAGGCAGGGGCCTCACCTCCCGCTGTCTCAGGACTGCGCTCCTCGCTTGTTCCGCTCCGTGTTCTGCAGCTTGGTCACCAGCTTCCTCTCGTGCCCACCAGGGCTGGGGCGGTTGGTGTGGGCAGCGGCTTCTCTCTTGGTGCGACCTTTCCGGCCTCCCACTCCTGGGAACCCAGCAGAAGCCCAGCGTGAGCGGCTGGAGGCAGCTGGCCCCAGGGAGGGGTGGGGAGGCGGTGGTGGAAGGAGCTCGGGTTGGAGTCGGGAGGTTGGGGGTGTCACCACAGAGCTTTGGGGTACAGTCCCTATTCCCTGCCTGAGGAAGGAGGGTCAGAGTGGAGGGGGCAGGGCAGGCCTTACCCAGCTGAGAATACTCCAGGCTGTACAGGTCTGACTCGTCCAGGCTGGGGTCTTCGTCCTGTGGGCCCGGGGGCTGTGGGGCCGAGCTGGCTGCTCCGGGGAAGGTGGCCATCATGGCTGGCTTACCCTCACTGTCTCTCTCACCTTCTAAAGCTTGGTGTGTGTCTGGTTTCCTGGCACTTCCCAGTTCACTGGCTCCGACTTATAAGGCCACGTCTCCTCCTCAGTGGCAGGGGCCCAGCCCGCAGGCCCTGTCTGATGCAATCTGGCCCTTTCCCAGAACCGCAGTAAACACCCGGCGTGAGAGGGGAAAAGTCAGTCTCCCGAGTTCCAGCCCATTGCCTTCCCGTCCCTGGGGCTCGCCCCCTCCTCCCCCCACGGTATTTTCCACAGAGGAGATTCCCTGTCCCTCGGGGAGGAGGGGCCTGGCAAGGTCTGGCCATAAATAGTCCTTGGGAACATGACCAGCAGGGACCTGAGGGCGGCCCACTTCTTCCTGTCCATCTGCTGCCCTCTGCCCATGCCCCTTCTGGGAATGGGGTCATGGTCACACAGCTGACCCTCACTCCCACCCCAGTTGTGGCTAGGATTCAGCACTGTGTGGCAGCATACGGAGTAAGGAATATGGGGAGAGGATATCAACAAACTAGCACTAGGTTGGTGGTTCTCATCCCAATCACTCCTTTTTTCCAAGAAACATCTTGGAAAGCCCCCTGAGTAGCCTGAACTGGGGCCCCCAGGTCACTCCCTTCACCTGAGAGGGAGGATATCCGAGTGGTTACAGGTGCGGATTTTGGAGCTGGATCTCAAGCACCTGGCCCATTATTCCTGTGTGACCGCAGACAAGTCCCTTTACCTCTCTGTGCCTTGGTTTTTCCCTCTGGAACATGAGGACAGTAATGATTGAAGCTGCGTAGAGCTGATGGGAGGATCATGTGGGAAGGCACTCGCAGCAGTGCCCGGTCCTGCCTGGCCCCGTGCACTCACACTGTGTGAGAGTCAGTCCCTCCCCTAACAGCTCAGGAGAGCGAGCCCTACTGTCATATAGAGAAACCATCAGAGATTAATTCATCATAAAATAATATGCACTGCAAAATATGGATAGGCCAAAGCAGAAGGCGCGATGGAGCAAGCAGATGTTTGTAGCGATTTAATATGAATTAAAGGAGGGGGTTCAGCTACGAAATGCATGAGAGTGGAATTTTCCACTCCTGCCTGAAGGGTCTGTATGGGCCAGAGTTGTCCCCGAGAGGCTTTTCTGCACCAGCTCCCAGCTCCCTAGGTTTTGTTTTTGTTTTGTTAACTCTGTAGGTTCCAAGGACAGGTCTTCTCTGCCAGGCCAGGTGCTGGTTCCGCTCACACTCCCCCCGGGCTGTGAGCCTGTTGAAGCGTGACCCCCTCACCTGAGCTCTCTCCTCCCCGCCCAGCAATAACCCCGCTGTCCTCTAACAGGAAGCAGCGCTTCTGCTTGCATTTCTCCGGGGCCTGAGCCAGAATGAAATTTAGCTTTTGTTTCCCAGATCTGGGTCATCTGTGAGTTCTCTCACACCCAGGAAACGAAAGTGAAGACTGGACCACACGCGAATCCAATCAGAGTTGGGCTGATAGCAGATCAGGTGTTAAGAGAAAGAGGAAAATAACCTTAGTTTGAACAAAGATCACACCAAGACAAATTCAAGGTGGAGGAAGGCGGAAACAGGTGTTCTTGCGAATGGTGAGCTTTACCGCTCAGTGCCATTCCACCGTCATGGCATCAGGTGGGGTAGGAGGCGGCTCAGGTGGTCACTGTCAGTGAGTGTTTTAGCTTCATGAATTTCCAGCAGGACCATCTAACGTTGTGCAGGATGTCGGGGGATTCTGTGTGCCACTGTTCTATTCTGTCTCCCCCGTGACGACCAAGAACCCCCACACATTCTAGAGCTGCCCCTGAGGGCGATCTTTCACTCATTCACCTCTGTCACCAGGACCCCAGCTACTGGCCTCCGGGACCCCGGCTTCTGGTGAGGTGCTGGGCTCACTTCTGAGCTGGCTGCCCTTGAAGTGAGCCACAGGGCTTTGTCCAGAGCCCGCATGTGATGCACTGCCCTCTGCCCTGCCCCTTGCCCTGCCCCAGCCCAGTTCTCCCAGGAAGGAAAAGCGAGACTCAGAGTGACTTGCTCAAGGTCAGGCGGCTGGTAGTGGTGACGGACCCTCCCACGGCCCACCTGACCTTCTGGGGCTCCTTCTCAATCAGCACAGCTGGCCAAACACGGGCGGTGTGTGTGGAGGCACCTGCCCAGGATCCTTCCCTTCCTCTCTTTCCCTCCCTCTCCCCCCTTCTACTCCTCCCTTCTTCCCATCCCTAGCACTTGGTGCCTGCCTTGGACCAGGCTGAGTGCTGAGCAAGCTCTGTGCCCTGGGGGGTGAGGATGGGGGGAGGAAGGGGAGGGTCTTTGGCAACTTGATGTGCATCGCTGTCCAGAATACCACACATGCCCCCGGTTATCCTTCACCCACCACCTGATTTTACCTTACATTCTCTGTAGGATTAGTTACCACTAATGGGAATATCTTTAAAGAAATGTTTATTGATTTTATTTATTTATTTAAAATATTTTTATTGATTTCAGAGAGGTATAGGGAGAGAGAGAGAGAGAAACATCAATGATGAGAGAGAACCATGTTTATTGATTTTAGAGAGAAATGATGAGAGAGAGAGAGACATTGACCAGTTGCCTCTGGGTATGTGCCCTGACTGGCGATTGAACCTGCAACCTTTCAGAGTACAGGATGGTGCTGCAACCAACTGAGCCACACTGGCCAGGGCTAGAAATACCTTTTTTATTTGTTTACTTCTTCAGGATTTGTCCCCGCTAGGGTGCGATGGCTGGTTTGGTTTGTTAAAGGAGCTGGCGTGGCAGGCAGACTGCCTGAGCCCAGGCTTGGCTCCTCCACTTGTTAGCAGTGTGGCCTTAGACAACTTACCTAGCCTCCCCGTGCCTCCATTTCCTTCTGAAATGGGATGAATAATAGCATCTACCTAGTGGGGTTGTTGTGAAGATTAAAATACCAATTATCATAAAGGCTTGACACAGCCCTAGAAGATAGTAAGTACTTAATACATGTTAGCTACTATTATTATTATTCACGAGGGAAGGAATCTTATCTATCTTGTCATTGTTGTATCACCAATGCCTGGTACACAGTCAGCACTTAATAAGTAACTAGTCGAGTACATGAAGCTATGCTATGGTCGGCACTGCTCTTTCAGCTTCCAGATGCTCTGCTCTGAGGGAATGGAGACGCTCAATCCTAGGAGTCCCCATCCCCCGGACTGTGAAGTCACTGTGGCGTCCTCTACAGAGCCAAGGAAGAAGGTCTCCCTGGCTGTGATCAGGCAGGTGCTAGGAGAGGGAAGACCAGAATCTGGGGGAGGGCTGGATGGAGGGTGGCCAAGAGAGAAGGGACTTTGGGAACCCATCACCTGTTGTACCAACACCGAGTAAACGGTGGGTGCTCCTATCATGTGGTGAATTGGGTAGCTGGGCAGCACCTGCAGGAAGAGAGCCAGCTGAGGCACTGGTCAGCAGGTCAGACGCTGAAATCACAGCCAGTTGGCTTGGAGGTCAATTCCTCTCAGTGATACCAACAACAGTTAAGACTTAACTACAAAAGGCTGTACACACAGTCCACAAAGGGGTGCATCAAGATAACTGGGAGGCTGACCCACTGAACCATATCGGACACCTTAACACACAAAGCCACCCTACCAACTCAGGAAAGCAGCGAAAATGCCAAGAAAAGGAAACAGATCAAAAATGAAAGAAATGGAGGACAAAAAGCGACTGGATATAGAGTTCAAACCATGCTTATAAGGTTTTTCAAGAATTTCTTAGAAAAGGCCGATAAAATAAATGAGACCTATGAGGATATGAAAAGGGCTCAACTAGAAATAAAGGATACATTGTCTGAAATAAAAAATACTATACAGAGTCCTAAAAACAGAATGGAAGATCGCAAGAATCAAGTAAAAGATTTGGAACACAAAGACCCAGAAGACACTCCTCCACAGAAGCAAGAAGACAAGAGAGTCCAGAAAGTTGAAGATAATGTAAGAAACCTCTGGGACAGCTTCAAGTGAACCAACATCAGAACTATGGGGGTCCCAGAAGATGAGAGAGAGCAAGATACCGAAAACATATTGAAAGAAATAGTGACAGAAAATTTCCCCCACCTGGTGAAAGAAATAGACTTACAAGTCCAGGAAGTGCACAGAACCCCAAGCAAAAGGAACCTAAAGAGGACCACACCAAGACACATCATCATTAAAATTCCAAGAGCAAAAGACAAAGAGAGAATATTAAAGGCAGCAAAAGCAAAGCAGATAGTTACCTATAAAGGAGCACCCATACGATTATCAGCTGATTTCTCAACAGAAACCATGCAGGCCAGATGGGAATGGCAAGAAATATTCAAGGTGATGAATAGCAAGAACCTACAGCCAAAAATACTCTACCCAGCAAAGCTATCACTCAGAATCGAAGGTCAGATAAAGAGCTTCACAAATAAAAAAAAAAAGCTAAAGGAGTTCATCACCGCCAGAATTACATGAATTGCTGAAAGGGGTTCTTTAGGAAGAGGAAGATATAGATAAAAATTGTGATCAACAAATACGTAACTATCAACAAGTGAATCTAAAAACCAAGGGAATTCACCGGGACCGGTTTGGCTCAGTGGACAGAGCGTCGGCCTACGGACTGAAAGGTCCTGGGTTTGATCCCGGGCAAGGGCATGTACCGTGGTTGCGGGCACATCCCCAGTAGGGGGTGTGCAAGAGGCAGCTGATTGATGATTCTCTCTCATCGATGTTTCTAACTCTCTATCCCTCTCTCTTCCTCTCTGTGAAAAATCAATAAAAAATATATTTAAAAAAAGTTTAAAAACCAAGGGAATTAAAAAACCTGATGACTATTATTAACTGGTGAATATAATAGAATCAGAGGTATGGAAGGGGAGTGGACTGACGATTCTCGGGGGAAAGAGGAGTGGGGGTGAGAGAAGAGACTGAACATAAACTGTGCACCTATATGGATGAGGACAGTAGGGGGTGGGGAAAGAGCAGAGGGTGGGGTG